TATTAATCATTTATCAAACCTATGCGATTTTATTATAAAAGTATGGACAGATTGTAGTATGAAAGAATTTACAAGTACATTTTTGCTTGTATTACCATTTAGGACAGAATTTAAATTATATCCATGTTCGTAAAAATACATGCGATGTCTGATGTTAGAATAATTAGGACAAGTAAAGAAGTAAAGTATCCTCATAAGGGTGACCACAGGAACAGAATGGATCAACTGAAATGTGCCGTTCAAACATGTGCGCTTTCAAATTACTGCATCCAAGTCTGAGGCGTGAGTGGATAATTTGGCAGAAACGTGTACCAAAGTTTTTATCAAATATATTAAAATTGGGTGGTTTTGATGATTGGAATGCATTTTTAAATTGGTCTATGGTTTCAATATCGTACATATTCTCAGGCAAATCATTCCATTGTCGTATTGTATCAGGTAAAAACGAGTTGCTATACAAATCACTACGACATCTTATAGTTTGAATGTTATTACTGTTTCTTAATCTATGGTCTCTTAACTGTGATACTTTTTCTGGCAGTAGATCAGTTAAATAAACTGGTGTCATATGATGAACCATTTTGTAAAATAATGATAACTTGCTAATTTGTCCACGGTCAACTAGGGGCATAGAGTTAGATTTCTTATATATTAAATCATGACTTGTTCCTCTAACTGCCCCGCAAATCGCCGCAGTGCGTCTAAATGTAGATTTTCGACAAGTTTTTCTTGTCCTTTAGTACAGTTATCCCAAAGGTGCCAACAGTAATCGAACGTTGGTAATACATATGACTTGTACATTTGCTCTAATGATTTTCTAGATAATCTATATTCAAAACTACGTAGACAATTTACGAATGGACGAACCTTTTTAACTAATTCACCAATGTGGGAGTTCAATTTACAGTCTGATTGCAAGGTTACTCCTAGGTGTTTATGGTAGCCGACTTCAGTAATGTCTACTCCATGCATTTTAAGCTTAGGAATTGGAAATTGATTACCGGTATTTCTGCGAGTGAATAAAACAGCTTCAGTCTTACCAGGATTAAAGCTAACCTGCCATATTTCAGCCCATATTTCTAATTTCGCAATGATTCCCTTATGACCAAACCTTGTCAAATGCCTTGCTTATGTCACAGAAAACTGCCCTGACTTCTTTGCCATTGTCTAATGCATGTAGTATAAAACATACAAGTATGTCAGTTGGTATACAGTTCCATCCCCAGGCATGAATCCTGACTGCAAATTCGTTAATACGTTATTATCTAAAAAGAAAGATAAACACATGTTTAAAAATACATTTCTCAAATACCTTTGATAAACAGCTGGTAAGAGCAACTGTTCTATAGTTTTTACATTCATTAAAACTACCTTTTTTATGAATAGGAGTGACAATAGCTTCCTTCCATATTGTTGGGAATTTACAATATTCTAGGGATAAATTGAATAGATTAGTAAGAGGAGTACAAAGGGATGGCACGACCATTTGGATAAATCTGTTACCTATTTTGTCTGGTCCACTGGCTTTGGAAATATCAACTGATAACAGGATGTCTCTTACTTCTTGTGTAGTCAATACAATAGACGCAAGTGAAGTCTTTACTTTACATTCAAGTGTAGGAGTCTCCTTATCAGGATAGTCAACTTGTGCATGGTTAGCAAAATATTCATTAAATATATTTGCTTTATCTTTACTATCATTGATCAGATTATCGTTATGAATAATCGAATAGAGGCAACTTTGATCATGTAAACACACTTGCCCCTATGGGCAAACTTTACCCAATGGGGTATTCTGCCCCACCTTCAGAGGTGGAGCAAATTCGGATACCCCTGAGGCAAATAGTGCCCATGGGGGCCAATGTTTCATGTAAACGCAATTTTGACATGTTTAACACCTGTTTTGGCGTTTATGTTAGCTTGATGAATCGTAATATGTTCATTTTCTCTGTTTTGTTTTTCATAAATAGTAGTTCTAGTTAAAAACATGTCACCCAAGAAGAAGTAATGCTATATATTTGCTGCATAACCATTCAATTTAGAAGAATTGATGGTTGTTATGTCCATGAATATTCACTTATGTTTAATTCAATAAAAATCAAGTGGAGTACAGTATGTATTTGGTATTGAAATCAAGTTTTTATGTTCCTGACAATGTTTTTAAGTTTTCAGTTTGGATCCTCGCTGCTTCACTCCTTGACACAGTTGTTGCTTAGTTCCCTTCAGCAGTAAATTCCAGAGTGAGTGCCTCCCGAAGGGTAGCTCAGTTGACATTGTTCTATGCCAGTTGCTCCATTTGGAGTTCGACACCAGGATCATCATTGTCAACATTGAATCACTCTGGTTGAAATGCGACATTTGCATTATCGCAGATATTGTGCAGTGCCACTGCAGCTGCCACATTCACATCTATTCTTTTCAGAAATCGTCTCCAAGGACCTCTGAAATGCCCAAAAGTACTTTTGATATGTCATACGAGCCTATAGTTGAAGTAGGCCTGTGCAGGGGTGAGTCCTCCTGTGTTTCTGTAAGGTTTTAACAACCAGGAACACATAGGCTGGGTCCTCTATCAAAACTACTGGTATGTCAACATCACGGTTTCTATCATCTACAGTTTGAATCCATTCTGATGTTGTTGAAAGGAGACGCTCGTGAACAGCTGCAGCCGTTTAGATCCCAGTTCACGAACCCTCTGGCATCATGGATGCGCCCTGGCCATCCAATACAGACATTCGTAAGCCTGTAGCGGTCATCACATACAGGCTGCATTATGGTCAAGTACCAGCCTTTGCGATTGACATAATCTGCATGACAATACTTTGGACAAATGATTGGGGTGTGTGTGGCATCAGTTGCACTGGCGCAGATTGGAAACTTTCATTTGTTCTTGAAGCCTGTGACGACCTGCTTGAGGTCATGACCTTCTGGAAATTTAACAACGTCAGGAACATCTCTTGGCACATGCAGTCACAAACCTCATGGATGATCAGAGACACTGTAGGTTTATGAAGAGATCTCCAACGGTACGATACTCTACAGAAGTGGCCAGGTAATACAAGGTGACAGATATTCGGTGCTCTGTTGTCAAAGCTTGACTGACACAGAATTGCATGTCAATGTGGGGTTGAAGTTTCTCACAAATATCATGGAAGATAACTGTTGGTAAAGTTCAAAGGCTAAAGTTCTCTTTCCATTGTGCAAATGCTTTTAGGTTACATTCCACCAGTTTCTACTTCTTGGTCTTTCCCATATGGGTCGTTCTCTGAGAAAGGACGATAACAGCAGTTTGACAGAGTCTGTATTGCTGTTGGGATCGAAATTGATGTGTGTACACTTCCATGGATCAGTATGAACTGTGATTCATGAATTGTTGTTATTACTTTTATCATTTTATTTCCCAGCAATCAATGATCATGTAAACGCACTTCACATTTGCCCTTTGCCACCCTGAGGGTAAATTTATCCCTTGGGGTATAATGTCCATAGGGACAAATCAGTGCATGTAAACAAGGCTTTAGACAGCGACACAATGGAACCAGCAGCACTGATGACCGACCACGTAGTGGTGGACCCCGTGTAACAACACGTCGCAAGGACCGTCATACCCTCCATCAACACCTCTCGTTAACAGAAAACAAGTGAACGATTGCCATTCAAGCCGGCAAGTTATGCCTGAATGCAAGCATGTATAACATTGGCTGTGTGTTTAGATCTGTTCACGATTTCTAGCCCTCAAATACACTTCAATCACCTGTACGTCATACATCAGGTACATTTCGACCAAAATTCTGTATGTTCATGGTAGATTATGATTGTCCAATTGCAGCCCCGTAGCTCGAACGAGTAAGGAGAGAAATAGAAAACATGATCCCTGGTAGCCAAGGTGTCATATTGCTTACTATAATTCGCATCGACAACGGCCTGTACAAACACCGCTCGGTTCAGCTGAGGAAACCAATGAGTAAGTGTATTGTGGAGTGTAATAGTCCAGTGGTAAGGCGTCTGCCTATCACGCTGAAGGCACGGGTTCGATCCCCGGTGGAGGCACCTAGGTTCGGGTCCCGAGGTCGGCACATTTGCGTAGTACCCTTGCACAAGATACTTAGATCCACATTGACTCAGTTCAACCAGCTGTAAAATGGGTACCCGTGAGGATGTGCTGGCAATGTGAGTGTTTAGTGTTTTGTGCGTAGTGCTAAGTTTGTTTGTACAACGGCACCCAGACCATCCAGTAACAATACAGCCAAGTGAGTGAGTGAGTGAGAGAGTTTAGTTTTACGTCGCTTTTAACAATATCAGGGCGGGGGACGCCAGAAATGGGCTTCACACATTGTATCCGTGTGAGGAATCGAACACGGGTCATCGGCGTGACGAGCCAACGTTTTACCAACTAGGCCACTAGACCAAGTAACGGCCACACTACAGAAACGAACGGACGTCGCAGGAGACGATCTGTAGTAACTAGCAGGGCTGGGTATAAAGCCCCAATGGCTAACGGAATTTGCGTTTTCTAAAGTCTAAAGGACAATCCCGACTGACAAACTAACCACTTAAGCGGCAGGGGAGATGTACGAAAATGAAGAACTGAGCATAAGCTACCCAAAGGTACCAATAAACATTTACGAACAGTTATGTACACTTCGCAAGGTAACAAAACGAACATAATTACATAAGAAATGTCTACACAGAAATAAACAAACGCGTCAATACAAATAAGCTACTTTAACATCAGATCTTCAATATATGAGAAAAGTTAAATGCATAGTCCTACGACCGAGTGATAACAAGCACAACTTGATCAGTTGTTACAGACATACGCCAATTTCATGTTTACTATATGGTAAAAGCCACTCCACATCGCTCGGACACGCGAGATGTGCAGCAGCCCCCCTCCCCCCAAACCCCTTTCCTCCTCCTCTCCCCCCTTCCCCGTGAACTCATCCAACCAGAATGTGACGCACTGCATCCTCTTGTAAATCTCTGTAAAACCCATACTTTTGATCTGTAAACTACTTCCTTCTTCGGGTGTGCATATATACCGAGAGGTACGCGACACGTTGATCGCTGCGCTCTGCTGCTCTGTATGCGTGTGTGCTTTGTGAAACACATCTTAACATAGGTAAGCCTGTGACATCACTAACTTAACACTCAAGGTAAAGTCATTGATCGTTTCTCAAAAATTATTTGTCGTTATTGGTTGTAGCAATATGAGGCACATGGTTTTGTTAAGATAACATTGTTAACATAGTGTTTATGTTATATTGATTATTTGGTTGTTAGTTGGGGTTTTCTTGTGTTTTTTTATTTATTTATTTTTGCATGTTTGTTTTGTTTTGTTTTTTGAGCGGACATGTTTTTTATGCTGTTTGTTTTTCTTGGTTGTGTATTGCTTATTCTTTTTGGTTTTTATTTGCTTTGTTTTTATTGCTTGTTTTTTTTATGTGTTTTTTTTATTATTATTATATTTTTTGGGGTGGTGGTGTTATATGTTTGTTTTGTTGTTGCCTTTGGCTGGGGAGGGTCGGGGGTATTTTTTCACCCGAACATTTTAGTAACATATGAATACATATTTGTCTTGGGGAATACAATACACGCTTCATATTTCAGTTCCATCACGATGAAAGGGCCAGGTCTGAGTAGCTGTCTGTCCGTGTTTCTGTGTCTCGCTGTCTGTCTGCAGTTTGTCTGTACTGATGGTACCCAGCCTGTTGACGCCCCGCTGTCCCGACAAAAGAGGTTTGACTTTGACTTCGACAAAATATTGCAGGGTTTGAAAGCGGCCGGCACCTTTGTAAAGACAGCCACCAACCTTCTTGGCCAAGGGAATTCAACGTTTGGAAAGTTTATTAACAGGCTTCCCTTCTTGGATCTGCCCGATGCCAAAATGATTTTAGGCCGATTTGAGGACATGATGACGAAGGATGACATGACGCCGGTTCAGAAGGACCTCGCCCACCGCTTAATGGACGCCATGAATCATTCAATCTCGATAAAGGAGCAATTCCAAGAAAACAGCGGTACGTCATTCACAATTACAACCTGACTTTCGTTATTAACAATAACAACCTGACTTTCGGTATTAATAATAACAACCTGATGTTATACCACACTTACTGATTCAACTGCATTTATGCCCCCTTTTAAAAATAGCATTACCATTATGACAATTTCTTCGTCTGTACACATGCGGCGGTTTAGCATAGTGGTTAAGCGTTCGCTCATCACGCTGAAGACTCGGTTTCGATTCCCCACATGGGTACAATGTGTGAAGCCTATTTCTGGTGTTCCCGCCGTGATATTGCTGGAATATTGCTAAAAGCGGCGTAAAGCTAAACTCTCTCACTCACTCACTCACTCACTCACTCGCTCTTGTTTATAATTTGGGAACAGTATAAGCCATGGTTGACGTGAGGAGTAGAAATTCTCAAGAAAAAGCTGATTATTAATAGTATTTGCAATATAGGTGTGGATCGTTCGTATTTCTATTGTATTTCAATGTGGCGTCTTTATCTCATGCAACCCTGCCGTGAGTTCAAAGGTCACGTTCTTCCGCCGTCGGGGTTGAATAGGAAATGTTACAGATTACACAGGGACAATTGAGCAGATTGCGTGGTTGATAAGAGTACATAGATACTGTAACAGCATCCGACTTAGACTGTTAAAAGTCTTCAAAGGTTATAGATCCATATTTAGCATAGTGGTTAAAGCGTTCGCTCATCACGCTGAAGACTCGGTTTCGATTCCCCACATGGGTACAATGTGTGAAGCCTATTTCTGGTGTTCCCGCCGTGATATTGCTGGAATATTGCTAAAGCGGCGTAAAGCTAAACTCTCTCACTCACTCACTCACTCACTCACTCGCTCTTGTTTATAATTTGGGAACAGTATAAGCCATGGTTGACGTGAGGAGTAGAAATTCTCAAGAAAAAGCTGATTATTAATAGTATTTGCAATATAGGTGTGGATCGTTCGTATTTCTAGTGTATTTCAATGTGGCGTCTTTATCTCATGCAACCCTGCCGTGAGTTCAAAGGTCACGTTCTTCCGCCGTCGGGGTTGAATAGGAAATGTTACAGATTACACAGGGACAATTGAGCAGATTGCGTGGTTGATAAGAGTACATAGATACTGTAACAGCATCCGACTTAGACTGTTAAAAGTCTTCAAAGGTTATAGATCCATATTAGTCCGTTAGAATTGCGTCGGGGCGGTGGGGTAGCCTAGTGGTTAAAGCGTTGGCTCGTCACGCCGAAGACCCGGGTTCGATTCCCCACAAGGGCACAATGTGTTAAGCCCATTTCTGGTGTCCCCCCGCCGTGATATTGCTGGAATATTGCTAAAAGTAGACATGTGGAGCAGGCCATCACTCTGGATTAACATTAATACTGTTGAAAAAGGATTCTCTTTTGTATATTCCTTTGAAAGACCATAAACTAAACTCAGTCAGTCAGTAGAATTGCGTCCCTTTGATATACAGCAGCGTGGAGGTTCGTTATAGTTAATAAGGCAGTTGATTGATTGTCTGAAGAAACGGTGTAGAATTGGTCTATATCCATGCTTGTCTTGAGGCGACTAACACGATCGGGTGGTGAGGCTCGCTGAGTTATCCCAGCTGCGTTGTTCAATGACCACGATGTCAATCACTGGATTGTGTGGTCCAGACTCGATTATTTACAGACTAGTGTCATATAGCTGGAAAATTGCAACAAACAAACAATGTCTGTCACTAAAGTGCTCTTTCCATCAACCACTAGTTTTTCAGATCAGGCCACTCACTACATATACCACCAGGTTCTGTGTATCTTGAATTGATCGCAGAGTATATTGTTGTTCTTCAAAACCATGTCCTTGGTAATCGTTATCTCGAGTTTTTGTTAACTTCAACTGATCCTGTTCAGCACATGATTCTAAGTCAGGTCTCGCTCCTGTTCATGATAGATATCCTGCGTCCAGGGCATGCGCCCTTACCCTTTCTTGTACATTTTCATTCTGTTTCTCCTGGTCTTCCTGCTAACCTATCAGGTCTTCTCTTGTTATTGTTCCTTTTCCTGTTCTTTTCCCCGATCCCACTGCTTCTGATCCTGTTCTTGTTCCTCCCATCGCTCAGTTCCACGTCATAGGCTTTGAGTTATCCTAAATATTCGTTCACACCTTCAGGTCAGAAACAGTTCGATGTGTTTACTGTGCTGGCGGGGCTAAGGACTGCTGGAACTGCGGCGAAGACCATCACAAACGTCCTTGGCTTCGGGGACTCAGCTTTCGGAAGGTTCATCAACCAGGTGCCTTTTTTGGACGTCCCAGATGCCAAGAACGTCCTGGGACATGTGGAGAACATGATGAAGACCGAGGAAATGACCCAAGTCAATATGGATCGCGCCCATCAGCTGAGTGAGGCGCTGAACTACTCCATCCAGGCGAAGGAGCAATTAGAGGGTAACAGTGGTGAGTTCTCTTGCTGTTCATTTGTATCTTCAACTGATCCTGTTAATTTCGTGATTCTAAGTAAGGTCTCACTCCTGTTCATGAGGGCGGTGGGGTAGCCTAGTGGTTAAGGCGTTCGTTCGTCACGCCGAAGGCCCGGGTTCGATTCCCCACATGGGCACAATGTGTGAAGCCCATTTCTGGTGTCCCACGCCGTGATATTGCTGGAATATTGCTAAAAGTGGCGTAAAAACTAACCTCACTCACTCACTCCTGTTCATAATAGACATCCTGCTTCCAGGCTATGTGCCCTGTCCATTTCTTGTTCATTTTCATTCTGTTCCTGCTCATCCTGCTAACTTTTCAGGCTCTGCTCTTGCTCTTGTTCCTGTTCTTTTCCCCGATCCCACTGCTTCCGATCCTGTTCTTGTTCCTCCCATCGCTCAGTTCCACGTCATAGGCTTTGTGTAATTCTACTGTAATTTGTTCACACTTTCAGGTGAGAAACAGTCAGATTTGTTGGGTGTGCTGGCGGGGCTAAGGACTGCTGGAACTGTAGCTAAGACAGTCACAAACGCACTTGGCTTCAGGAAGTCAGCTTTCGGAAGGTTCATCAACCAGGTGCCTTTCTTGGACCTCCCAGATGCCAAGAACGTCCTTGAACACGTGGAGAACATGATGAAGACTGAAGAAATGACCCAAGTCAAGATGGATCGCGCCCATATGCTGATGGAGGTGCTGGAGTACTCCGTCCAGGTGAAGGAGCAATTAGAGGGGAACAGTGGTGAGTTCTCTTGTTGTTCATTTGTTTACGCCGAAGACCCGTGTTCGATTCCCAACATGGGTGCAAGCCCTTTTTTGTGTGAAGCCCATTTCCGTTATATTACAGGAATATTGCTAAAAGCGGTGTAAAACCAAAATATACTCACTCACTCATTTGAGAGCCTCGTGGCATATGTACCCCGAAGTATGTCTTGTATGTATAGTATGACCAGAAATTATTGAGAATTTTAGGAATATGTTTAATTGGATTTCTAGTATAAACAACCTTGACCAGCTATCAAGTGCTTGGTTTCATTCAAGAAAGACAACTCCGTTAATCCTTTTTCATTAGTTTGTGGAGAGTTATCCCCCTTTGTTTACTTGCTAGCAGACGATATTTTCTGTGATCCTCAGTATGGATGATTTAGAGAAGAGGAAGTTGATTTTAGAGTATTATAACAAGGACATCAGATCAGCTAAAGTGATTTCGAGTAGAACAGGCATCCCTTTGTCCACTGTTTATCGTGTTTGAAAAATATTGCAAATGGATATGGCATTGAGCACCAGGGAGGCGCAGGTAGGCCCAGAAAATTGATTGTCGGTGACAGGAGGCGGCTTGGTATTCTTGTTTCTCAAAACAAACGAAGGAGTTTAAAAAACTTAAGGCTGGATATGATTGATAGAGGAACTGTGGATGTCTGTAAGGAGACAATTAGAACTGAGCTGCATGCAATGGGTTGGCAGAAAAGTCGAGGAATTCCATCACCGATCATGAAACCTGAACAAAAGGAGCGAAGTTTGAACTGGTGCTTACAGCATAGAAATTTTAACTGGGACAATGTGATTTTCTCAGATGAAAGTTCTGTGTGGCTGTTTCCTAATACACTGAAATTCTGGACCAAACAAACTGAAAAACCTTTGTATCAGCGCCCAAAGTACAGTCCGAAATTTAACGTGTGGGGTGGCATATCTGTGTTAGGGGCAACGCCCCGCTGTGTATTGGAAGGGAATATGAACAGTGAGCGGTACACAGATATTCTCGAGGGACATTTACTTCCATCTGCTCTCGTGTTCTATGGAAATTTTTTGGATTTTCCAGCAGAACAATGACCTAAAACATCGTTCAAAGCATTCACAGGCTTGGTTTCGGACCCGAAATATCACATTATTAGATTGGCCAAGCCATAGCCCTGACCTAAATCCAAAAAGAAAATGTTTTGGGACTTATGAAGGAAAGTGTCTAAGAAAAATCTGACAAATATTGCTGAAATGAAAGAAGAGGTGGTCCGATATTGGGACAGCATGGACTACGACCTTTTAACTTCTTTGATCAGTAGTATGCCCCGCCGCATTGAAGCCTGCATTGCTGCCCATGGTGACTTGACAAAATACTAACTGTTCACCTGTCTTTGAATCTGGAGTTATGTTCTGCTAATATTCACATTTAATACGTGAGTAATGAGTGAATAAAATATAAAAAATTACAATCTTTAAATTCTCAATAATTTCTGGTTGTACTGTTTAAAAGGATATGTTCATGTTTATGTAAACATATAAAGTCATAGCTGTGAACCTCATACCAAGCTCCGGTAGTCGATGGTGTTCCAATTCCAGTGTCAACTATCACACATTCACACACATGCACAAAAGCGCTTATATACCAACATAAACACTCACAGGGGGTATTTAATCCTTGAATCCTTTGTCTTACTCGCTCTTTGATGTGACCAAGAGGTAATCACCTTTAAACGTTAAAGTCCCGCTCGCACTCAAGATTAGTGAGTGAGTATGGTTTTACGCCGCTTTTAGCAATATTCCAGCAAAATCACGGCGGGGACAGCAGAAATGGGCTTCACACATTTCACCCTTGTGGGGAATCGAACCGGGACTTCGGCGTGACGAGCCAACGCTTTAACCACTAGGCTACCCCACCGCCCCTACTCAAGAATAACACTGCACTGCAAACAATCACTGATATCTCGAATACTGTTGAGTTCACTATCCCAGAGATCTTGAATTAGTTTGATCTGTTCCTGTTTCTGAATGTTTCAGGTTCGTCAACGTTGTTGCTGTCATCGACGTTGATGATGTTGCCAGTCATGTGTGCTGTGGGGTTTACAATGTAAATGTGTTTACAAACATGTTGCCAGGGACGGGAGGCTAAGCATCAATTTTTCTTTGAAACATTATTTGGACTTCATATATCGTTTATATATCTAGAATCATACTCGTATTCATTATGCGCTGTTCGAACAAGAGGACCTCCTCCCGATAACGTACACAGGGAGAACTACAGTCCTGTGTTTGTGGAACAATGAGGACGGGGCAAAGGAGTTGTGCCCTTTACTTGTACCAGGATCTGCTTCTCGATTCACAGAAGAGGTTCTGTTGTCATTTTGTTATACCTTGTTGTAAAATACATAATGCCATTACTAGGAATGTGTAATCCCTAATAAATGTATAACATATGTTACACTTGTAAAAGTCGCAGTGGACACGCTCTTAACTGAAATAAAACTTTGTAAAATGTTATACTTGTGTTGGTATTATGTATTACATTTGCCACAGAGTGTGCGTTTGGGGGTATCGATCATTGTCTTGTGGACGGCCCGATTTTGAACGTTCTCTACTACTAAGTGAGATAGTGAATTTAATGGCACAATGTCACACCACATTTCTCTAAAAATACATAAGGCATTTCTCTCAATAGTACCAACTATCAGCCCTCAGGGAAGCTACCATATAATTATTTTTTTTAAAAACACGTATTTAGATTACAATATTAAATTACAAAGTTCGAGTGAATTAATGCAACAAGCTGTTCGCCTCGAAGTTTCAATTGTCGACTTCATGCAAGTCGAAACGGATATTGCATCAACAGGAAGCTAAAGTGATTGCATATGCCCCCAATGTGTAAAATAGAGGCCAAAATCATGTAAAAAATGTGTGACACAGTGCCTTTAAATAATCGAGAGTTCCCCAGACAATGAGGTTCCCGTAATACCACGAAGCCACCCAACACGGGTCATGTGGAAGGCGACCCGTGATGGTCCGGGTTAGAATGAACCTTCAGTAACCCATGCTTGTCGTAAGAGGCGACTAACGGGATCGGGTGGTCAGGCTCGCTGACTTGGTTGACACATGTCATCGGTTCCCATTTGCGCTCATCGATGCTCATGCTGTTGATCACTGGATTGTCTGGTCCAGACTCGATTATTTACAGACCGCCGCCATATAGCTGGAATATTGCTGAGTGCGGCGTAAAACTAAACCCACTCACGTGGGAAGTGTGTTGTTCTGTGTTTGGAGTTGGTGGGAAAAGGGTTAAGTAAGGACAGATAAAAGGCGCTGTAAAATCGTTTAAACTAAATGTACATGGAAATATATTCGCACGTTTTTATACAGATGATGTAAGGTTTTCTCTCAGTGGATCATGTTCATTTCAAACAGATGCGATTCCGCTTGACGTTTTTTTCTAAAAACAAGGATTTAATATAGCAGAGGGTTGCTGAGTGTAGGGCTGATTTCCCCGGAATTGTCAACTTTAATGTTCATCCGGTCCGGAACACGCTCTACTAGCAATCCACATGCACTTCATGTACATTACGGGGCGGTGGGTAGCCTAGTGGTTAATGCGTTCGCTCGTCACGGCGAAGACCCGGGTTGATTTGATTTAAACATATTTTATTCACAAATGTGAAAGGGATTGGGGACAAGTAATCCAACTTAAAATACCCGCTCCCTAATATTTACATACATACATTTTCAATTATATACATATTAGGAAAGAATAGAGAGAAGAGATAGGAAAGTTCAGTAGAGGAAGGGATACAACTCATGTGATCACACAAAACGTTTTGATTGATGAATAAACGTTTGCACACCTTTAAAAACGTATTCATTCTGTTGATTCGATTCCATACATGGGTACAATGTGTGAAGCCCATTTCTGGTGTCTTGCTTTTCAAGAGTAACTGATTGCTGTCTTTTGCCTTAGAGTTAATTCATATCATAGATTTTCTTTTCCATTCTATTTCCATTTACACTTTCACAAATAAAATATTTTGAGTTTCTTTCAATTGCGTTAACAGTCCCTCTTAGGTCATCTTTTGCCTCAATCGGCCTATGATTAAACTACAGAGATAATAACAAATGTCAATATATTTTTCCAAAATATATATTGGTACACAAGCAATAGTGCAATATGAATCGTTTGAAGCATATTGCGGAATACCGGTAAACCGATAAAATCGTGAAGTAATAAATATGCTCGGCCCAAATCCACATATGCCTGATCGTCCAGTTATAATATACTCTTCACAAAAAGTAGGGGAACCTGAACTTTCAATTTGGATAGGAAGTATCAGCTTTTACAATTTTTTCAAAGACAGACATCATGAACGCACCACCATTTCTCTTTATCACCACCCTAAACACAACGCATGGTCTGCACGAGCATAACGTGCATGTCGTTCTTGATTTTGACGGTTTTCAAGTAGATCGATAAATCACTACAGACCATTGAATTTTTTTTTGTCATATTGTTTTTCTTTTTCTTTTAAAATGAAATTTACACATACAAATATCACGTCTTACACCAATCACTTTTCAAAAGCGATTGCTGTACAAACAACTATGATCATAAGGAAGTGCAAGCGATAATGCACTCTCACAACATTCATCATTATCATATCAATATTGATTGTCTCCGCTATAGCTCCCAACTGTTTCAATCGTATATTAAAAACCAAGTTCCCCTACTTTTTTGGAAGAGTAATTATCTTCTGTTAACCAGAAGGACAGATTTCTCACGGAGAACAAATGGGTAAACCCTGAGTAAAATTAGTTTTGATTTCATGGCATGAAGTTCAAATGACACTATCCACGTGTTTATAAAGGGAATACTTCCTAGATGTTCGATGTTCACAAGGGTCATGTTTCCGGTAATTGTTCCACGCCCGTTAGTCGCAGTGACTGGCGAATATTTTTACTGTGGGTTGTGTCTCTATCGCCAAGGATAGGCGTCCGAAAATAGTCTGCTGTCATTCAGACCCACTCGGCTTTTCCCGTTATTCATAGAATACCAAGGCCAGTGTGGTGTAATGTTATTGTATAGTTTCATGGGAAAATACAGTCCGATCGATCCCTCTGCATATAATAAGTATGACTTGAGAGCTGATTTAAAAAAAGGCTATTGTTTGTAAGAGACAGAAATTATGTTACGAGTACGACGTCAAGAAACAGAATAGTTTATTTTTTTCTGAGAGAAGAAAGCAGGTGAAGTGAGGTGAAATTAGATTTTACGTCGTACTTGAGAATATTTCGCTCATATGACGACGTGCATGCGTGTGTATGTGTATGTGCGGCTGCTTGTACTAGCCCAGACTTAAGCTGGTTTTATAGTGCTAGCCCATTGAGATACCATGCCGCAGTGAAGCATGAATACCCCACTCAGACACATTATACTGACTCCGAGCCGACCAGTCCTTGTTGTACCCATTAATGCCGAGCGCCAGGCAGGGACCAACAAGTACCATAGTTTAACGTCTTTTGGTATGACGCGGTCGGGGATCGAACCCACGACCTTCCGCTCTCCGGGCGGACGCTCTAACCACTACACCACGGAGGCGGTCAGAGAAGAAAGAAAGTTCAACAGAACACATTTTTCTTTTTGCAGCACAATTTTAGTACATCAGAGGACATTTACACATATTTTTTTCTTTTTCAATATACAATAGCCTGATCAGTGTTCAATTCTGGAACGAAACTATGTAAATTATCAACGGCCGTGTTTGCACTAGGAAAACCAATGTTTGATACTGTGAGCAGCCATCCACGTGGTCCGGTTAGGATGACCTCTAACCACGTCACCCAGGATGACCATTCGATCCAGGTCATTTCTTTCGACCAGCGTAGGTTGTTGCTGACCTTTCAGCACTAAAGGCTGGTTCGTTTTCAAGGAAGTCCGCTTGACCTGCGTGCCGTTGTACAAAGCGATCTTAGCGCTAAGGTGGCCGTAACTCCCATACCTTAAAATAGACTCAATGTTGGTTGGTTTGTTGTTTAACGCCACACTCAGCAATATTCCAGTTATATGGCGGCGGTTTGTAATTAATGTCTGGACCAGACAATCCAATGATCAACAGCATGAGCATCGATCTGGGATATGATGACATGTGTCAACCAAGTCAGCGCACCTGACCACCCGATCCCGTATGTAGCCTCTTACGACAAGCATGGGTTGCTGAAGGTTCATTCTAACCCGGACCTTCACGGGTCGCCTTCCGCATGACCCGTGTTGGGTGGCTTCGTGGTATTACGGGAACCTCATTGTCTGGGGAACTCTCGATTATTTAAAGGCACTGTGTCACACAATTTTGACAATATTTTGGCCTCTATTTTACACATTAGGGGCATATGCAGTTCTAACCCGGATTCGTCACGTGTATGTGATGTAGGACATAAGGTACCTTGGCGCTAAGGTTGGTTTCCACAACGGCACCTGGCTTCTAGTGAAACAGTTTGTCAGATCTTGATGGGAAAGATAAAAGCCTTGGTTTGATGACATTGTGGAACAGTGGCAAGAAGATACCAACATTGTCGGTTCATTAGCATGTCAGACTATTGATATGACTTTAGTAAAAGGGGAGCAGCCGTTTTGTAATCCCTCCTTTGTGATCATGATTGAACGAGGACATTTCGCGTTCATCCCCCGCAACATGTTATCATTTCATCGCCAAACCCGACAAAAACATGGATAGGTCAGGGGTAAACTGGTGCCTTGTGGTATTTTTGGATTTCTCAATAAATGTTTTCCCCTAAGAACGGAAGTACATGTGGTAGTATAGTACTCTCCCTATCTTCATGACATGTTTTAGAAATAAAATAATGCTGTGGTTATAATTTTACATAAAACTCGAAAATCTGAATGATGGGAGTTATTTTGCATGCTTCTAGTTTCAGGGAATGATTAGTCACGTCGCTCACATGTGTAATTACTGACTCACAAACAACCCACCGAACACATTGCTGTCGGATGAAAACTTGTGATTATGAGGGTTTCATACACATACACATACACACATTCATAAATTCAAAGTCCAGTATGATGTGTTTGTAATGGAATTTAAATGAGCAAATAATGAATAACTTACTTACTCATCGGATGCAGCTGTACATCAAAGTGTGCAATTGACAACCATGTGCATATACATGTGACATAGACCAGCTGTTTGGGTGTATGTACCCTAAAGCTCCGCTGAAGCAACATGGTGAAAATGTATATATATTAAGCTCTATAAAACACGCTTTAGTTGGATTTAGATAAAGCCTTGTGTATATCAATCTACGCTTAAATACATTTAAAATTTAAAAAGAATTATAACTTCTTATAAATGAATCGAGTATTTATTATCTCTGTTGTAAGGAACGCAGTCAATGTATACTCTTACTTATTTACCATGTGTCTTATACACAACGTGTATGAGTATAGTGTTACGTATTTATCATCTTTCTTAACACAACACAACGTA